CCTTTGTAACCGCATAGTAATGAATGAGTCTGGTTTGACTCGACGAACCTGTTTGATTGATTGCAATGACTTGCGCAATTTATGTATTGAGACAAGGACGCTATATATGGTCATACTTAAAAGCGATTCATGGCCAATAAAAAATGACCTTTTATAAGGATTTTCTTGATTTATTTATAATAGCACATAACAATGTTCATTAATTTTTATTTATTATATATAAAATTATAGTGATCTTGTTTTTTTTTAAATTAATAATATCTACTGGTCTACGCCAGATGTACATTATTCTATTTAATTTAATAATGTCTGTAGTGACGACAGACGAATCAAATTAAAGCAATGTTAGCCGAAAGAAGTTGTAGACTAATTTATTCATTATATTGGACTGGAAGTTCATAAGTTGATCGTTAATTTATTAAAAGTTCAAATTAAAAATTATATGTGTATAGATACTTATTATTTACCGACGATTACTTTTAATTCTAAATATTGATTAATTTTTTTAAATATGATTCAGACTTGGACTGACGAATTGTTTTATGTGAGGATTAAACTTAGCAGAGAATAACTAAGCGAAATCTAAAAAAAGACTAAAAGACTAACTAAGACAAATTAAGAAAAAGTACTGAACCGATTTTAACTTTTTGTGTAGTGTTAAAAAACGTATCTAGATACGCACCAAGTGAAGCGAGGGTAAGTCACTAGTCTATACAGATTAATAAAATTAAAGTGTCTGTAATGTCAAAATAACAGCGTATTACTAAATGCATTTAGATAATTTTTATATGCATATATGTTATAAGGTACTTATTTTTTTTTAAATTTTGTCTGTCTGTCTGTATGTTTGTTCCGGATAATCTCTGAACCGGCTGGGCTGATTTTGACGGGACTTTCACTGGAAGATAGCTGAGATTATAGGGAGTAACATAGGCTGGTTTTATGTTAGAAAAAGAATTAGGGTTCCGCTCAAAAAAATCGAAACGTTACTTTAGGGACGAACCCGAGCGAAGCGAGGGTGAGTCGCCGGTCATAATATAAAAAACTAAAAGTCTGAAACTAATAATTTTGAATGATTATGAATTTAATGTGTTATTACTGCAGTATAAAGTATGTAGGTACATTGTGAACAACATACAATTACATTGTTAAATGAGAGAAAGTCCACGGGAAAACAAGTGGAAAACATGTTATGTGACATACAAATTGTTACTTTATTACATAACTAGCGGCTCACCCTCGCTTTGCTCGGGTGCGTGCGAATTTTTTTGTCCGGAATCCTAATTCTTTTTCTAAAATAAAAGTAGCCTAAGTTACTCCTTATATCATTAGCTATCTACCATCAAAAGTCCTGTCAAAATAGGTCTAGCCGTTTTGGAGATTAGCCGGAACAAACAGACAGACAGACAAAAAATTCAAAATTGTGTTTTTCATATATGTACCGTATATACTTTCATATGCATTAAGTAAAAAGTTGTTATTTTGATGAGATGATATGAGACAAAACTGATGATAAATAAGTATATGGGAGCTGCAAAAGATATATATAATAAGCTTTGTGCGTGATTTTTATACGTGTGTCAGGTTTTATTTTATTTGTAACACGTTTTTATGAATAGTAAACATTAAAGAAATACAATGGAAAAGTTGTATATTGATGAAATTATAAATGTTATATGTATTTAATCCACTTTAGTAGTTAATAGTTAAACGTTAACCGGCTGTTATATGCAAATTATATATTTTTTGCTTGACTTATCTATGTTACTATATTTTAATAATGATTTATTATCCACCTACATATATACCTGTTACCACGCATGCATGCATGCTTACTGCGATAACAATATATATATATATATATATATATATATATATATATATATATATATATATAATTAATGGCATTTGAAGACTTCCTTAAAAGGACTTGGTGTTTTGTTCAGTGTTTCGTTTGTCAATCAGTGCAAAACAATTAGTTATTTTTTTTATTACAAAATAACGATTAATTTTAAGAACATTTATTATACTTATTCTTTACTTTATATTTGAATTAAATGAAATATAGATTTAAAATATTTTGGTTAGACTACTTTACTATCCAAGTTTCTGCATATTTTTGGGCGAGGCATATTTTGTTCCTATCGCTGTGCTTTGATTTAACTAGGCCGAGATATAATACATGACTATTTCAAACATTACTGAGTACGAGATTAGTTAGTGTTAGACTTGAATTTCAAGGCGTTAAGATTATTTTTTAAGTTACACAATTCACTAGGTTGAGCTTTAACAAAAGATTCTTTCTTATTTTATACTGTCTAGAACTTATTACAATACGCATATAAAAGTTTATATGATTCGAACCAATCGTCATGGTAACTTATCAATCCTACCTATCCTACAAAACAATCCTATCCTACAAAAATTCTAAATGGAAAAAATATCCCGGGCTGAATAAAATTAAGTCTTTTATTCAGAGAATTAACCTCTGAATAGTATTCGTTGTATTACTAGTAAGTAGTATATTTACTGTTAGCTACATACATTCATTTTATGGAATCGCCAAAAAGTCACTTTATTACAGTAACAAAGAAAACATGTTGCAGCTCCATATATTATAAAGACTTCTTATAGAGGAAGTTTATAAGGTTTTAGTTTCTAATAAAAGAGCAAAAGGAGGTGTCGTATGTTATTTGAAACACGTGGTGATTCGCGTAGCAATTTTCTACGGCAAAATTGATAATGTTCAGAGTTATATCGCAATTGTATTTCATTGTTGAAACCACGCTGGAACAATATAGCCTGAGCGTTACGATTACGCAATTTTGCCTTTTGTGTAGAGATCCTTCGTGGACGTTAACCTTCAAAAATACAATTTATAACATTACGGATGCGGCTTTTGTAAATGGAAATATTTTCGAGTGCCTAAATTTAAGCATGAAGTAGGTCTCTACTATATATTATGTAATATTTTAAATATTTTTAATAACAATTACATTGCGTTACGATATAAATACTTTAAATATGTATCCGCTTCTAATTTTTATTAGCGAAAGAACTCCCAAATATATATTAATATTTAATATACTTACATATTTTCATTATAATTACCATTACTCTACATTTCATTGCAAAAGTTAGATTTGCATTGCTTGATGTTTAAAATTATTGTCATTGAAAAGGTTTCAGAGATTCAATTCTGCTATAGAATTCTGAATTACTAGCGATCAACCCTAGCTTATTTATTTATTTAGAATCGTCAAACACATTCTTTCATGACAATTTAAAAATAGCTTACATTAATATAACTTATATAAATAGCTTGTATTATATATCTCTATTTTTATAATTTTGCTATGATTAATGAATTGCATTTACGAGTATAACATCGTCTAGTCGCCCCGTCCATAATAACTATTTAATAATATCCGGCATGGTCTTTAAATCATAAATTATTTCTTGTATTATGTTTATATTATGCACATATGTACATATATCATGTATGTACTATGTATGTAGTACTACTGAATTAGCATATACATCATGTATATGCAGAAACGGTTGAGCGTATGAAAATTTTTTTAAACAAATTTTGTCGCCAATTTTATGCTCTACAATTTTATAATAAATGTTAACATCGTTGGAGCTATAGAAATTGAGATAATCGCGAAAAAACTGATTTTTGCGACCTTTGACCTTGAATAACTTACGATGCAGACACGAGATCTTATGAGACTTTTGAGACAACATTAAGAACACCAAAATAAAGGTGAATACGAGTTTATAGCTTATTATCTCTCATTCCGAGGTGAAACCCCTAATATGTCTGGACTAATATGGCTAAAAGGACGACGTTGGGTAGATAAATAAAAAAAAACCATTAAGCAAATGAAAGTTAAATGATTTTTAAAGAAGTTTAGTCACTAGTGAAATTTAGCAAGTCGAGAATGCAAAACGAGTATATCCCAAAAAATAAAGTAAGCTGTGGTACATCTGCAGTGATAAAACGGCACGTTGTGGCTAAGTTAGCACGACTAGCGAATACCACAACCCATTAAAAGGATTTTGTGACATGAAACATATCAGAAATAATAATATGCATCATAATTTATAATGTAATTTTAAACTTTATACCTCGATTTAAATCTTTAGGTACTCGTATATACAAAATAATTTAGACTCTAGAAAGTTACAATATAACCTAATAAATATAAGATCGTCAGAAGTTTTTGTTTTCGATAATAATTATAATTTTCTATAAATATTTTAAATATTACATACCTGGCTAATTAAGATAACAAACTGTAAGCTTTCTATAGTCCATGACCTAATATATTTTATATACAGGATCAGAATTTATGTTTTGGTGCCTTTTTTTTTTTTTTTTTTTTTTTTTTTAACGTTGGGAAATGCATTTACGCACGACGTGTGGGACTCACCGGCGTAATACAGCCAGTACTACCCACTAAAACCCAACAAAACCTTCCCCCGTCTTAATGGGGCGTCGCAGGATCGCTTACGCATTCAACTACGACGCCCCGACGGCAGGTCTGCCGTAGCAGACCACCACAACCATGGGATTGCTCCACAGTCCACTCTGCTATCAGAGAAGTACCAGGAGCAACCCGCATGGTACACCGCCCCCCGAAGAGGGCCACCTCCCACCGCCCACCGAAGTGGGCAACCTCCCTGTGCGTTTCTTGGCTTCGCGCCCGGTTGGATTGCCGGGCACTACTGAGCTCCCCCACCACGACAAGGTGAACGCACGTTGGGGGGGATGTTTTGGTGCCTACTTTATGAGGAATTTTGACAAATATATATAGAATTTTGATACTTTTGAATATAATCTATAGAATATATGTATCTATAAAAAATATTGACAAATTAAATAGAAAAATACTTATTTTAAAACTTTTATCAAAAACTAAACAAAATATTCATTGTCATAAGGAAATAATTCTTTGGAAAAGGTATTACATACAAAATTATTTTAACAGACGTTCTCAAACTTTCTTAACTCCTTGAAATTCTTCATAACAATGGAAACTCGAAGTGATTACGTAATTCACTTACATTGTTTACAATTTTCTCTCAATTATTTGGTAGTTTAGTTTTATCTTTATGGGTGTGTGACGTTACTTTTATCAGGGCATTAGAATGATAATATCTATATTATATCTACATACATAACTATTTAATTTAAAGAATATATAAGATAGAACCTATATATTATATTTTTCAAAGACAGAAGCAAAATTATATTTGTGGGTAGGCTGTCTGTAACAACTATATAATACCTTTTAGTCTGTCCAGAGACCATGATTGCTGTAAAACATTCAACATCGGAAACCAAAAATCAAAATAAATTCGCGAAATAATCCGAAAAGATAGTTTATTTAAAATTCAAATATTAAATAAAATAAAAAAATATTCGCGTAAATCTAAGAAAGTATTGGGTGACTCTTTTTTGAAATTAATATAGTTTCACCCAAAAACGTTTTCTAACGTAGAACTAGACACAAAAATGACATTGGTACATCCGCTTTGAGTATCTTCACCGTTTTTGCGGTCTGACCAAAAATATTACATGTTTACTAGTATATTTGCAAAATTGTCAACATCTAGGTAATGAATTAGTTAAATTTTTAATACTTAATTGCATAAGATATAAAAACATAAAATGTGAAAAGGCTGGCTAATATTATAGCATATTCTACTTGCCATCCTGGTCGGAATTTATTATGCGAAATTACCGGTATTAACCAGTAAATACTAATAATTTCATAAATTACATCAACCGTATCGTTATAATAGGTTCTAATATGCTGAAATATGAATTGATTGAGGTATGGATGTATAACAATTACGAAACGCCACAAATAAATAAATTAAGTGGTGCTGCAAAAAAGGCATACATTCGTACGTATTAAGTAAATAAAATATTATAGATAATAATTATAATGGAATAATTTACCACTCTAACCGAGTTCTGCATGATTGCTTATTAAAATGAAAAGTATTTCTTCAAGAGTTTCCTGCATAATCAATTAGTTTGAAAGAGAGTTGTTGAGTCCTTGTTGATGATACTTTATTATTGTTGTATATATACACAAAAGAAAAAGAAAACAAAAGAACACAGTAGAAGGAAAAATTACAAGAGGCGGCCTTATCGCTAAAATAGCGATTTCCTCTAGGCAACCATTAGGTGTAGAAAGTACATATTTCTAAATGCCTTTAATTCAACTGTGTCAGTGTCAATGGTTGTAAACTTAATTTAAACAGAGAAAGATACTGTCTCTCCCCTGACCACGATTCCTGCAAAGCATTCGAATTGTCGAATCAAAAATCAAAATAAAGCTGTAAAAATCGGTAAAGATAATTTTATTTAAAATGTAAAAAAATATTCGCGTAAGAAAGTATTAAGTGATAAATTTACTCAAAAACAAGAAATGATCAACATAGCTTCAATAATTGTAACTTCTCCATTACTTTACAGTAGGTACCTACATAAATTTCGTTGATTTTCATAGTGGACGATAGACGCGTATATTTACTAGTAGGCATTACGATAGTGATTCTCCTCATATTTTAAAAAATTGCTTATGAGCGCGGGCTGTACTTAGTCTTAATGACAGATCAGACACGTACCTATGTATAGAATTATGAATTTTCCCAAAAATGGACAAAAGTACAACATGGGAGAACATTTGTCATAACGTTTATTCCGAGCACTGAATTTAATGCTACAACTTTATTACGAGTCCGTTTCATTGTGTTATTTAGTTATCAATATTTATCGCAATACGTATTATTATTAAGAATAAAATTCCATCATTATTTGCACTAGAGATAAAAGTATCCAAAGATGAAGTGTTGCTTTCATTTGTAATGCGGCCGAATATTTTCAAGCGAAGCACTGGCAATATAAATAAATTACTATCATATTGCTTAGTAAAATATATATTTTTATTATTAAATGAATACACACGATCTATTTTTGTTTAAATTTTTCTATTTATCCAAAATATTCCTTTTAGCAAAACAAATTACGAGATGAATTTTAATATATACACCTTGAATATTCCCAAAAAATCGTATATAAAAATCTCACATAAAATACAGTATGCATGGGCACGTTGGATTTTGCGGTCGGCTGGTATTGATTGAATTGATTCGAACAGTTCCTAAGCCATATATTAAAGGCCTTTGAGAGGCCTGGCTTCGGTACCTACCATTAATTGTAATAATTAACGTATTCTAAAATTTAAAACACATTATCGTCTACAATTCATAAATTACTGGAATATATAACTATTGTACTTAAATAGCGTAATTCAAACAAAATGTAAATAATAAAATTTTCAAATATATAAGTTCACTTTTACTAGAGTCTGTATAGAGACCGCATTTTAAAAACGGTAAATATGGCACATAATAAACTTGGTTTTAGCTTGCTTTTTAGCTACGTCAAAGAGCCAGTTTAATCTAGCTTTGTCACAGTCGCATATTTACAACCATAAAATCTTGTTTGCCGTTTCACTTAAATTGTTTTATCCGAATTTTATGATGAAAAAAGTGAGTTAAAAGTGAGATTAGAGAATTATTAATTAATTTTAACATTATCGTGGTAATTACATAGAGGATCATCTTTTTATCAGTAGCGAAGATCATTATTTTTACAACAAAGCCTTACTAATATGAAAAATGTTATAGTATTTTTGTCTGTCTGTTTGTTATCTTTTCACGCTTATACCACTAAACAGATTTAGTTCTTTGGCAAAGACGAAAGATTTCATCGTGGGGATGGACATACGCTACCTATTATCCTCGCTCTACTTACCATGGGAGCGGAGGCGTAGTTAAAAACAAGTGTGAATGTAATTTTTAAGTACTTTTTAACTCTTACATAATATGAAAATAGCAAATCCTTACTCTGTTTTCTTCTTGTTTTGAATCTTTGTTTAACTAGAGTGGAACTAATTATATACATATATTTTTAGAATAAACCCGTGACTACTATCTATTACAAAGAATTTATCTTCTGCGTAACGAGTATTTCAAAGTTATTTAGTACATCTTTGCATAAATATTATTAAATGTTAAGCACTGATGATCAGAATTGCGATCACCTAAATTATTATTAAAACTTTACACTGTTTAACTTTGTTCAGCAGAAGTATATAAATTCAATGGGAATATAAATTATACACGGATATATTAAAAATAATAAAAAATCCCATAGGGCAGCTAATTGTGTCCTCAGTGGCAAGACCACGACCATGGAGTTGGGACCTCTAGGAAAAAAAGCAAAAAAATAAAAAATAATATATAAAAGGTAGATGCTCAAAGAGGTGGAAATGCTCACGTGGACTCTCTACTAATTTTACTCTCAGGTGAAAAATCAGGTGCTGGATCGAGCATTACGTGCTTTGCGAGATACACTGCCAACTACCACAAGTACCTAGTGGAACTAGATTAATCAGAAATATTACATCACCTGTTGATGAGATGATGGGTGGTGCCACTGATTAAGATTTTTATGTAGAATCTGTGGGCTTAGAATACGACGTTCTACAAACTTTAACGCCAATAGACTAAGTATTACACAGGAATAACATATTTAAACATAATGAAAATAGCTTTAGTATGTCAATTCTAATTTATTTATATTTTCGTTTTCTGAAAGAGTTATTATTTTTATGATTTAAATAAAATATTCAAAAACTGTGATTGTACGAGTAGTAGGATTAAATAATTATTAAAAATCTTATAAAAAAACAAACAATCTCCACCTTATTTATTAACAATACGTCATTTCTCTTATTTCCGGTTAGTTCTTAATGTGAATACTCAAAAAACAAAAGCATACTCAGATAGCGACCTCCAAAAACTTCGACCATTATAACCAAGACAATACCGAAGCCTTTCGGCCGAATCACAAAGCAAACGAGTCTTCTTAGTTCCTCGCTGGTTTTGTTTTGAACTATGCTCATTTTAATGTTATTGAAGCGTACAGGATGTCTTTTATACGTTCCACCTCTTATGCAAAATTACACACCTATGACATAGAGAATGAGTAAGAACAGACTCCAGATGTTACGTTAGCGTATACGCCTGGAGTTACTAGGTTCGAACTCCAGATCGCCAAATAGTATATATATAATTAAATTTTTTTTAATAAGACTCTCAGTAACAACACTCCGGTGTAACAATCCCCTGCCTCAGAAAGATCAAAGCTGTAGTCTTGCGACTGATCTTTTTTCGGTTGTGTTATAAAAGTAAAATATAATTCAAAAAATGAATGAAATACCAATTGTAAGGATCGTAACAGTAAGGTAAATTAAATTATTTCATATTGTATAACTTAACATAATAGGGATTTTAATAAGAAATATGTATTAATATTTTTAAAATTCTAAAGTACTTATGCTGATGTTTTTCAAGCGAAGACTAGTTTAATCATAAGTAAAAGTAAAATAAAAGCAAATTCGGAGCGATTGGCATTTAGCTGATTGTATAGAATTTTCATTAAATATGTAAATAAGCAAGTTAAAGGCGAAAGTTAGCTTTTCAAAGTAAGTTGTTTTAGGTACAGATAGAGACACTATAGAGTATCTGTACTCCTTTTCATTTGTAGTACAAACTTCCTATGCAGATACCTAAATCTTGTTTGAAACTATATCCATTTCGAATTTTTTTGCTACTTTAATAAACCCTGAAAATGTGAAATAAGTAAGGAAAGAAAAGTTTAATGTAGATATGTAATTATATTAACAATATCACAACTTGTTTTGTAGTGTTTCTTGAATAAAATCTAAATATCTGATTTTTGTTTTAATCAAACGTTATTGCCTAAAAAATATCTTAAATGACATTACGCTCTCAAAAGCTAAAAAATATTATACATATTACTAAAGAAATCTGTAATTTCTTAAAATGTACGGTAGAGCTACAGCGCTAAGAGTAAATAGCGATAGATTTATGATTTTAATTAGGTGTGTAGATGGTTCACCGTCCATTTTAAACTTTCAAAGATCAACTAAAAAGCTGTCCAATAACTATTGAACTCAATCTAATGAAGGAAGAGATCGAGGTGGACAGTAAGGAATATAACAGGGCTAGCCCATTCGTTTCGCACCTGTTAAATTTTCATGTGGGAATTGTTTTATACGTGATTAGCACATGAGAAAATAAAATATCGTGTGGTAACGATCTGAAAGATCCAACTACTTTTGAAAGACGTGTGAAGTCTGCCAACCCGAAGCCAGCATGGTGAAGTACAGCCTCATCCCTTATCGCATCGAGTGAAAGCCCTTGCCCAGCACTTGGACTTTAAAGGGATGAATTGTTATTATAACGAATATAGATTGTAACTACTTATCTTTTTCATATACATAAGTAAAACATGCGTAACTGCACTGCACTTTTAAGTAATACCGAAAGCGTACGCCATATGTCAAATGTACTGAAGCATATCAAAAAGAGGGTTGTTTTGCCATGTTTGGGAATGTGCCGTGTTTGTCTTTCCCATGAACTTAGATACAAAATTTGAAATTAAATAGTGCACTTTGTTTTTAGTTGACATAATATTATATTTGTACTTTACTGAAATACTTTTCATATTTATAAATAGAAGATTTATTCGGTGTTGGTAATTATACTACTATTAGAAATTCAATTCAATACAATTTCCTTGTTAATTGCTTCAAGCTATTATAAATGGGATATCTTTTAATGTGGGCGTGTGATGTGAAACGAATTTGAATTTTAACTATACAGATTGACTTTGACCTAGAGTACACGTCATAATGCAGGTACTACTTTGTTATTTGTCAAGAGGTGGCGCTAATTGTTTGCCATATTTATTTGATATTATCTATACATATAATAAAAATGTAACTGACTGTTGTTTGTACATGGAAGGTATTTGAGGAAAACTTTTATTATTGAGGGTATTTATTAACGCAAAAGAGCCCAAAACAATGACTTTTAGATTTTTTGTCTGTTTATCGGTTTGTCTGTGCATTTGTGCACGCTTATCTCAGAAACAACTCAATCGATTTGAGTGCGGTTTTCACTAATGTATTGTGGTAAACTTTATTTAACATTAAGTATTTGTTTTATTTCAATCGGTTTATAAATAAAAAAGTTACATCAATTTAAAAAAAAACACCTAGAGGCGAACCCGAGCGAAGCGAGGGTGAGTCGCTTGTATTAAATATATAAAAACTTATCACTGTTTTTGCATCAAGTCGACAAAGAAACCGTGGGACTCACTTAAGCGAGGCATAGTTACTAGTTTCGATTTAGGTATATATATGACTGTAGTAAAATAGAAATATATTTAACTAGCAGAACCCGCGGCTTCGCTCGCGCTAAAACTGTAAAAAAAGTCTCTAAAAAGTTAGTTTCATACAAACTTTCATCTCCAATTTTACCCCCTTATAAGATGAATTTCGAGAAATGCTAAAACACATATTTATTTAATTTTATTAAAAAACATTAATACCAAGTTTCAAGTAACACGGGTCTCAAATATTTTTTGAATTGTATTATAACGTGTTTTCCTGTGGGAATTAGTTAATCTCCCACGATAAAAAATAGCCTGTGTCACTCTCCAGCCCTTCAACTATCTCCAAACAAAAAATCACGCCAATCCGTCATTCGGTTTCGACGTGAAAGAAGGACAAACAAACAAACACACTTTCACATTTATAATATTAAGTATGGATTACACTGAAATTGATCTATTTATGTAATTTTTTTAGTCAATATAGAGCGGAATAATCTTAGAATTATATAATATTTAGTTTCCATTGCCTAGACGAACTTATAAATTAATCTCTTGTTTATACTATTTAAACAAAGTATAACACTTTTGTTTAATTAAAGTTCTAATCTATACATATAATAAAATTGTAACTAAGTAGAATCTGTACATTAAATGTTTTTTGGAAAATCTAATTGAAATAGACATTGTTATCCATATAGAGTCCGAATCTATAGTTTTTAGAATTTTTGTCTGTCTGTCTGTCTGTCTGTCTGTCTGTTACCGCATCACGAGAAAACCACTGGACAGATTTTGATGAAATTTGGTATGATAATAGCTGGTTATCCGGGTCAACATATAGGATACTTTTTACCGCGGGAAAATATCTCATTTCAGAGAAAAAAAATACAAAAACTGCATTGTAAGAGTATACTAATATGTAAAGCCTAAGAATTTGGTTTTTGGTCATCTGAACGCGGGCGGAGCCGCGGGCAATGCTAGTTCAGTTACTAAAACAAAGAACTTTTTGTCTGTGTGACACTAATGATATCATGTTTATATCAGCGGAATAAATTAATAATACATTTTTGTTACTTTACGTTTTAATTAATAATACATGTTTGTCCGATGTGCTAACGAACGTAAACATCAAATTATATAAAACAGTGTTTGTTGTGTAAACAACCTCATTTGATATTTGTAAACTGAATGGATATGTTTTAATTAGATAGCATTTATCATAATTTTTTGTCCTAGATTTGAGGAATATTCTTAATTAGGTATAATACATAATAGATTTTTAGATTTACCCAAATATTTGACATCTATACATATTATAATAAAATTGTAACTAAGTCGAATCAGTACACTGAATATTTTTTGGAAAATCTTATTGAAATAGACATTATTATCGATACAGAGGCCGAATCTATAGTTTTTAGAATTTTTGTCTGTCTATCTGTCTGTTACCGCATCACGGAAAAACCACTAGAAGGATTTTGATGTAGGATTTTGATGGTGATAGCTGGTTATCCGGGTCAACAAATATAATATTTTTTACCGCGGGAAAATATCTCATTTCTGAGAAAAAATACATAAACTGCAATGTAAGAGGATACTAGTGCGTAAAACCAAAGTATATGGATTTTTGGATCTTTTCAGATTTTTTCGCAAGTTTATTTTGATTTGACCACGTAATTTATAATATAACGTACCACCACAAACGTCGGGAACCAAAAATCAAAATATATTCACGAAAAAATTCCGAAAATATAGTTTTATTTAGGTATAATACTTTAACTAAATACTTTTTAACTAAAAAATACGCTAAGCACACAATTAGGTACTTTATTAGTAAATATTTTACCTTTAGGATTGGAGTTCTTTTTACCCCCAGTAGTTTGAGGTACAACATATTTAAATAAGAATCGATTGGCGAGGAATTCGCGTAATATTTTTTAATTAAGTACATCCTCCTCTTTTAAAATCAGTCAAAAGTTAAACGTGATATATATTTTTTGACCATATCGGAATCGTATCTGCTACTTTAGGATAAAAGTAAGCCACTACGCCAATATTATTTGCATACTATGTTTTAGCCAAGTTGCAGATGTTCCATTTCCGCGCTGTGAAGAACACGTAAAGTTTGATGTTTAAGTTTTGCACTTGATCTCTCTCCAGTCCTGATTACCTCTCGCTAGTTGGTT